ATATAAAAAAATATTATAAAAATAATGAATTCATATTTAAAAGTCTCTGTATTTGCAATCACTGATTATTTTGCAATCATTAAATTATTTGTTTTCACAGCTTTAGACTGTACTGTGATGAGCGGTAACCTGAAGCAGATAGACGCTGGGTCTGGCTCAGTGGTTGGAGTGAACAATCTTAATGAAGTGTTCATCCTGATTGATAACATCTTCACAAAGATCAGCGGGTCTCTAAAGCACTTCAGTGTTGGTCCTGCTGGTCAGCTGGGGGTTAATACAGCAAACAACATCTTCAAGTTTCAGAGTGGCAACTTTATTCAGTTTCCAGGTGAAGAGTTACAGAGAGCAAAATTAAGACAAAAGACAAGTTTAACCAGTCATGAATTTACATGTTTTAAAATAGCCAAAGTCCCGAAGACATCATCTTATTATGGTTCTTATTAAACTTGATTAATTTTTCATCCAACCTGTTGATTGTGTTGTTAGGGCTTCTCAAACAGGTGGATGCTGGAGGTGATCAGATCATTGCAGGTGTCAATATGAATGATGATATATTCTGTTTAAATATGGATGCTAATGACAAATGGCCATCCAGCACCACTCCTTGGGTTCAAATTAATGGAAAGCTGAAGTATTACAGCTGTGGCCCGTACAGCTGTTGGGGAGTGAACAGCTATGACTATATCTTTTTATTTAGAAGCAAAGGCTTGAGTTTCTGACAAAACTGAAGAAATAAAGACACTAGGGTGAAAGCAGCAAAATAATTTAATAATTTTCTCTGTACGATGACTGACTGCATTGTATCTCTTTCGGTCTTGTGCAGGATGTGTCTAATAATGTCTGTTCTGGCTCTGGCGTCTTTGTGAATATTCCTGGACTTCTGTCCATGATTGAAGTAGCAACTGATGGCAGCGTCTTTGGTGTCAACTATCAAGGGAACTTATACCAAAGGTGAGCTGAACAGTCAAAATATTACACAAGTTTTATGAACAAAATGATTAACTTGTCATGCACATTTTTTTAATGGAAACAAAATGCTGCATTCAAGAAGACATACATTTTGTCTATTGCAGAACTGGAGTCACTCTCTCCAACCCTGTTGGCACAGACTGGATCTCAATGGTTGCCTGTCCCAATGGCCACAAGCATGTGAGCTTTGACCTGGGAGTGCTGTGGGTCGTGTGTGTTGACGGCTCCATCC